GAATTCCCTCTGTAAAGCTATGCTATTCACGGTTGGGGTTTTGTAAATATATTTAAAACGAATAAAAAAACCTCTTTTCTGATCTGCAGCTTAGATTAAAATAAAAAGGGAAGATACGGCACTCGCGGCTCAAAAGTGATCCGCCTAAATTGTGGTGCATGACCACAATCCGCTTTTTCGTCAATGTTATTTACGTAATCGCCATTTTGTTATCAAGATAAGTACAACAATACAGTTCAGCCGTACGGACTCGGAAGCGGACTCGCGCCGTTTCGCTCGCGCTGCGTTGAAGCGTACAGTCACGGTAATATTATCTATACAGTATTGTGACTCCGCCCTGTCCTTGAAAATAAATGCCTACACCGAGCGCTGTGTTGGCACGCGGTAGGGCCGCCAGCCTACAGTATTTTATGTAGTTTTGTTTTTAACGCGAGTGTAGGTAGATTACTCGTTTGTCTCTTTTTTCATCCTAACCACTTATTTATATATTATTCCAGATATTTTGCCCGATGGAAAAACCGAAATACCTCAATATTAGAAACAAATAACGTACTAGTAGATAATATAAAGGTAAGACACGTTTACAATATTTCAGGTAATTTAAAAAATGATATCTCTGGGTGTGTTATTGAAGAGTTCAAGCAACCTAAAACAGCAATTGTGCTGTTATACGATATTGATCGTCGTTTGTTCTTTTCCATACTAAATTATGTAGGTATCTTCTTAATTAAATCAAATATTTACAATACAAAACGCATGTTTAAGCACGGCTAACTGCATATAAAACAATTCAGACCGTTCGGTCGTAGTTGCGGCGCGGCGGCGCATTCGCGACTGGGTGCACGCCGAGAGCACATCGAACTCGAGTGGCGTAGGTATGACTCGCTTTCCGACCGTTTGTATGAAGATAGAATACTGTATGATATTATTACCGTGGTACAGTTGTCTCGCTAGCTCGATTGAATGTTTATATACAGACGTGTGCGTATGTGAGAGTTGCTTATGTAGTTGAGTCGGATCATATTTTATTTGAGCGTACAGTATCTTTCCTTTTTGTTTTAATCTAAGATCTGCACGTGTTAATTAAGTGACAATTATGCTCAGAGTATGTTTAAGGACGCCACTCTTATTCTATGAAGCCGTGAACACTGGTTTGCGCGCCATCAGTTCAGTTATCAGGGGAGTCGTTTCGAGGTTCACATAAAAATAAGGGTTGTGTAATTACTTTTATTACATTACATTATAATTATGCGCAGTCTCTTACTGCAGCCAATCCAACTTAATATACATATATTATTACATAATTCGTATATTCGTTCTCATAAATATTAATGCCAAAATAGGCTTATATCACTCTCTGATTTTTGTCTCGTCGATGAAAGCATGATTACCAGAATGCTTTTAAAATTCCCTATAAAGATAAATTAATGTTTTAAACAAGCATTATAAAAGGTACGAATGTACTATGCGATGCGATCAAAGAAATTGTTAAAATTCATTAAAGTTACAGTCACGTTTTTACAAATTGTCTACGATTTCACAGGGGATGGGCGGGCTCAATTACTTGGAAACAATGTTCATGATGTCCCAAGATTAATTTCAGAGAATCGGAATTTTCCTTTTATTCAAAAACTCTGTAGTTACTGAAATAAGTCTTCCGTGTAATACCTACATGTATAGTCAGCCTATAGATCGTAGGACGAAGACTGCCCAAAATTACCTATGGTCTGATTTTTAATTCGATGGAATTCTGACATTTAGGAAGTGTTGCCAATGATAAAACTGTTTTATAATCTGTGTAATATGTAAAACAGTCTTGAGCGAAATTAAACATAAGAAACATTCTAGAATTTAAGTTTTCAAATTAGAAAAACTAAGGCAAAATAGGGTTATTAGACTTTTTACTAAAACATTGTTGAAGTTACAACAATTAGTAAGGCAATTATTTTTTTCCACAGGCATCCCTGTCCACTATTCATAGGTTATAAACCTTTAGGAAAACCTGTTTGTTATAATAGCAACATCTTCGCTTCTTGTAACAATGTGTGTGATTCTTATATAGGGTGAAATTGAATGTTTCTATGAAACTTCGTGAGATTGTTGGGTTATGTGTATAGAGTATGCCTGTCTTTTTTCGGATTTTTTTGAAGTATATTTTTTTCATGTATTTATTTATAATTTGTGTATTTTTATGTCCTTTCCTCGTTTTGAGTAGTTAATTCATTTTAAACAAACAAACTTACATATCCAGTGAAAAACAACTAATAAATAAGCACTTCAAAAAAACGGAAAAACATTGAAATTCCACCGCGGGTCAACGACCGACCGCGCCCGCCAGCCGTTGAGTAAGTAGCTACCTAACTCTACACAGAGCTCAACTGACTCGTTCGATTCCACACAATAGGTACAATAAAATCGTCTTAGATGCCTTTATTGAAATTGAAATAATAAGCACAAATGTCATCTTTTCTTAAGCAGAGAAAAACTTTAAAAGTTAATAATAATTTTGTCACGATTGGAAATAGGCAATGTTAAACAAAAAGAAATACTTATTGCTTAATACCCCAAGAATGAAATTTATAACCAGGTATTCAAAAGTACTTACGAGACCGGCGATTTAGGTAGGTACAACGAGGAACGAGGAACATATTCATTTTTTTAACTAGAACTTTTTATCAAATCAATCACACTGGTAGTACACAATTAGTTGTTTCTAATCAAAAAGTATTTACACTAGCAATAAAAAGAGACTTAAATTATTATCTGCAAAATTGTTGCTCTAAACCACCATTTTGCTGCAAACAAAGGTTGCCTGTTTGCGGACGTGTCTTTTCACCTTTTTTAAAGTGTCCCTATAACTACTCACTGCACAAAATGCAACTTCTATGGTTTAGGGACTCATTCGTAAACCAAACCTACTTCGTCACACTCGCGATAGCAGTACACCATCTCTAAATATTCTTGGTTTGTATACCGAGGCATAATGAAATTATCACAGTCACCAAGTCAAAAGATGCGCACGCTCACGCGCGATTGATATACTTGCGACTGCGTTTTGCATGCAATCAAAGCAAACGTCCGCGTGCGGGGAAGAGGGGAGGTGGGCGGAATTCACATCATCAAAGACGCCGCAACCGGCGCTAGTTGCCAGCGTGCGGCGCGCCGCCCGCCCGTGCTTGCCGCAAAACAACATATTATTATGTGTGTGTGCGTATGTGTGACTGTGGCTGTGATTAAATGTGTTCGGAATTTCATGACGTGGGCAAATCAGACACGAAGAGTTCCTTCCTTCACTAAGCTCGTAAGTTATACCGATTTGCTCTTAATTTTAAGAAGATTTATTTTATTGATTAATTACCTGTGCTTTATGAAATAATATTCAAAGGTATTGTGTATCAGTGAATAAATAATTATAATATAGCATCTAAGACTATTTTATTGTATTGTTTTTAAATAGTGTGGATCAAAGCGAGTAGGTAAGCGCCGAGTCATCTGTGCGTGTAGTTAGGTACCTACAGGCGGCCGCCGGTCGTCGCCCCGACCGGCGCTGATCTCGACTGGAGGCATAATGAAGGCATTCATTAAGTTTCCGTTTTTTTAGTAGTGCTTATTTTAAGTTGCTTTATAACTTCTATGTAGACGTGTTTAAAATGAATAATTACTCATAAGGAAGAAATGACAAAAAAATAACCAAATAAAAAATTAAAAAACGAAAAAAAATATTTTAAAATATCCGAAAAAAATCAGGCATACTCTATACATGTAACCCATCAATCTCACGAAGTTTCATAGAAACATTTAATTTCACCCTGTATAATTCGAGTAGATGATGATGAATGCTATGATAATAGTAATAATGATGCATCTATAAATATTTTGATTTTATATTTTTTTCCATTTAGCCTTTAAAATTAAATGATTATTAGTTTTTTACTTTAAGCATCGAACTGGATCTCCATCAAACAGATGTCACCATGAAACCGAAACCTATACTACAATAATATTATGTTTATTTAATTTTCAATATCATGTAAGTAACTAGAGCCACAAACAGCTAAGATAGATAGAAGAATATAGATGCTACACCGTACAGTTCAGAGCTTTTTTCCCATTCGCTTGCTATCATTCTCAAGTGGTGCATGAGTTCTCTAACAGGACGTAAATATGCAACAGCTTTTTGTCCTGAGTTGATTCTGCATCCTATACTTTGACTTTTGCGCCTGGAGTAAAATTCATTCATTCAATGCAGCGTGGTTGGAATGATGAAGAAAGGTTAACATTTGTTTTTTCTAATTGCTATTCTGATTAGTCATCTTAAGAAAAGAAGTTTCACGAATTTATTGCTTTTTAGATTTTTAAAAATTTAGGTTAACTGCTAAGTTTAATTTGAGAGATTAATACTATATTAATATATGGCTATTTCATTGGATTTATAACTTAGAACAGTTATCTGGATCAATAAATTGTCAACTAAATGGTACACAACTTTATGAATAGGGTGGAGGGTTGATTACCTGAGACACAGGATTCATCCTAGTTCAGGTGTCAACCCACCAATCTGATCATTATGTACTTACCTTTTATTTTTGGTAAAAATATTGCATTTTTTTATATCATTGTTTTTATGTAGGCATTAATACCCACACTGTGATAGAATAAATAAAGGTTATTATAGGTTAAAGGTAATAAATATAAATAGAATAAAATCATCTAGCTGAACTCAGCCACCTAGATTTAGTTTATTGGGAGACATTTTTTATGAATCCTAGTATATCTGTAAAGGGTTATTTTTTAAGAACTTGGTATCATTTACATAAAAAATAATAACGTAAAAGAACTTTCAATATCAAAAAATAATAAGAGTCATAACATAAGTTGTATTTTTTTCACTGATTCTTAGTATAAAAGTTAATTAATTCTTGGTAACCGATCCTTCCGAATTCGATGCCTTAGCAAAAAATAAATAAGGGATCTAGGTAGAGTTATTAAAACATAGGTACCTCAAATCCAGATATTTCACTTTAGCACCGTACATACTTTGTAATGCTGGAGGAATCCTTTTACAGTTTTGGCCACAATAACTTAACTGAAACAAACAAACGATCACATACTTAAATAGAATTCTCTTTATTGTTGTTCGTATTGACTTTTGAAAAGTAATTATTAAGTTTAAATTTACGCGCATTATTTGAGAAAATAATTATACAAGCCTTGGCCACAACTAGACATTGATGGACTTATGTATGTGTGCCTCGGCTTCGCCTCGACGCACATTTACACGTTTGTCCAACAGTGCCTCTTTTGCTGGCCGCTTCAGTAATATACCATAACTACAGTAGATATAGCTAATGAGCAGTGCTTCATGTACATAATTTAGTCTGAATACTCAATGATATAATCTGCTTTAATGATTAAGCTTCTAAAGTTTAGTTTAAATAAAAAAATGAAGAACAATGAAAAACGAACATATAATAATATACAAAATAAGAAATTAAACCTAACCTATGCGAAGTGTCGTTATGTGTTAGTGAAAATAAGCCGTGCTTATATTAAAGGATAGGGTTTGATAAACGACATGTTTGCTGCTGCGGCCGCAAGATATTTTGTGTTGTCATGCTTGCTTTTAAAGGCATTGTAATATGAGTTGGCAGAAGCCTGACGGATAAAAAACATTTTCGTTACGACATCCTTAACTTCACATGGGGACGTTAAGTTTAACATATCACTTGGATGGCTGGAGTGGCAGGTAGAACTGCTGTACCAGCTATTTTCACCGTCAATTAACATCAGGTGGGATAAAGTAATTTGCCAAACCTTTCTTTAAAAAAAAGAGGGAGTTTCATATCGTATCGTATTATTCAGAGGAGAATCTCTTCATTCTACTATGTACCTATACAAAACATAAACCACTGAAATGAGTTCCATAAATTTTATACGAATTTCCTGGTCGGTTGCTTGTGATGTTTAGTTCTTCATATTAATCTTTTTTGTAGTAAGTCGAAGACGAAAGTCATCATCTTAGACCATTAAACCACTGGACTAAGTACGCGCCTAATTTTGTTCAGTGCAAAGTCTGTCACTTTTTGAGGGGGACGAGGTAAACCACTACATTAAAATAAACTCACACAGCCTTAGTTACTTGTATTGTTACAATCGCCTACAAATACCTATATTTTTTCACCTACGCACACTAATGACAATCACAAGTAATCGTAACTAGGGAAAGTTCGGTATCGATATTTTAGTTTTCTTTAAATAACAATATCGATAGTTTTTCTTGTTCTCAAAGATTATTTTATAAAATAAAAATATGACAACGGAAAAAATTACTCCGGGTCTTTTAATACTCTCACTGGCACAATTACCCAATCACTATAATTTTTGCTAAACTTAGAAAATCGTTTCATGGGTGAAAATCTTAAATGTCATTTGTTTTATGTATATGTGTTCATTTCTTTTTATCTGTCAAACAGTCGTTTCAACATAGGTACAGTCTGGTCCAGAAATGTGTGTTAAATTTAACGATTTCGACAATAAAAAAATATTGCTACTGTAAGTGTAAATGGCCAGAGGTAAATTAAAATGAAATAAAAATACTTTAAGACATTAGATTAAAACTTTTATTGAAAAAAGTACAACATGAACTCAAATAATCTTCTACACTCATTTTTATTTAACATTATTATGATTATTACAATTATTCTCAATACAGATCTTGATCTGTTGATGATTTCATATCTTTTAGGAGCTTATGTCAAACGAGTCAAAACTTATCATATTTTAACACACTTATATTAGCCTCACTTGTAATTAACTAGGTAAACAAATCTGGAAAGTCGAATTCCATCTACTTCTTATTCTCATATTTATTCAAAACTGGTAAGTGTATGTAATTTGGATGACAATACAATAATCTGATATCATTGAGCCAGTCTGATAATGAAGCCAGGAGGTGAATAGTGAATTCTTCAATGTTACCAAAAAGATCCCTCGAGTCTGGGTTTATTTGGTCTGTTTTAATGACTGCCACCATTCCAATGTTAAAGTATAAAAATTCATTTTTACTAAACCGTCATGAAACCACCACCAGCTGTCTTACCGTATTTTTTCTCTACTCTGGCTTTTATGTATTAAAATACATACGTATGTTACGTTCATATAACATACGCAAGCACGCACAAGCATGTATTATTATTTTTTCTAGTTATATTTTCTTTAGATTTAAATATCAAGCAGTTACATGCTTAACAAAAATAATTATAACTATAATTGCAATTTCTTCTTTCAAATGTTTAATACTTGTAAAAGTTTTCATTTGACATTGTGGGTTACCTACAATGCGAAGAGATGGCGCTGCCTTGCAGCTTAAGTATGGCTAGAAGAATTTCGACGAGGCCATCAGGGCCGCGGTAGCATAATTGGTCAGCGCATTCGCCCGGATAGCGAAGGGTGCGGGTTCGAGTCTCGTCTGCTGACTGGTCCGCGTGTAATTTTTTTCTAATTATATTTTCTTTAGATTTAAACATCAAACAGTTACATGCGTTAAAAAAATATAACTATAATTGCAATTTCTTCTTTCAAATGTTTAATACTTGTAAAAGTATTTATTTGACATTGTGGGTTACCTACAATGCGAAGAGATGACGTTGCCTTGCAGCAAGAATGGCTAGAAGAATATCGACGCGGCCATTACATGCTTAAAAACAAAAAAAAGTATTATTAATATCAAACTATATGATTTTTAAAATGTATTAATTTTGAGTAAATGTGTCTTATGCATTCAAAAAAACAAAAAACCATTATATCGATATTATTTTTTCAATTTTATTTCCCATCACTTAAAAGTCCTAAATAAATAGTCTCGCTACACTCAAATCCAGTTATATAATTTTTATTTCGAATCTTAAATGCGGGGCCTAAGGTCGAAACTTGATAATTAAAAAATGTAGTCTCGTGGGGAGTGCGTTTGCTAGTCTCGTTCGTTCGATAGTTAAGGTCACTAAAATGGACTCTATTTTTCAAATATAAGGTATAAAATCATATGAATATGTTTCGGCACATATTCGAATTGGATCTCACTCGAATACTTGCAAGTTTCTATTCTCAAGTATTCTCGATTATTGTAAAATTCATTTTTAATTGAAAAAACCGGCCAAGTGCGAGTCGGACTCGCGCACCGAGGGTTCCGTACAAACCTGCAAGGTTTACAAAGTTCGTTCATTACGACAATCGAGTCATAACTATGGTATTTTTATTGCAAAATGAAATTCATAACATTACAATGGGGAAAGATGGAGGAGCATAAATTTAAGACAAAGATCTCTTTATCGTTTAAGTAATCCTTTATTTTATATTAACACATATCATTTATCTATAATATAACTGAAACACTTATACTAGCCTTGCAGCAGACTTGCGAAAGTTCTTTTATTAAAGTTATTTATTTACTAAGTTTTTTAGTCACTATTTAGAAATCTGGTTCAAAAATATTAATTAAGTATTATAATAATGTCATTGAATTTAATTATAAGTATAACACTTTAAGCAGTTAGGACGCATTTAGATTATACAGCTACATTCACCAAAACATCGGGATTGAATGACGATGAGTGAGGTCGTCTTTGCCGTTTGAAAAATGTTGCCCTCCCCATACATAGTATAATAACTCGCGGTCATTGCTGTAACTACAATTATGTTTACAATCACAATTTTTTTGGTGGTATAACTACTTAAAATTTTAAGCTTTATTATAGACCTGAGTATTTGGTATGAATTTCAATTTAATACCTCTACGCGTTTATGAGGAAATGGGTAGTAAGGTTAAAATTATTAAAAAAAATATATATTATGTGATGTAACTAAAAATTTATGGTTTTCGTAATTTTTCCTTTATCTATGCTATAAGACGTTGCTTGGTACCAAATTTCAAGATTCTGAGTTCACGGGAAGCACCCTGTAGGTTTTGATTCCCTTGCAAGTGTCGAAAATTTGCGGCATAAACGGCTGTATCTTTTGATTGCGTTGGCTTAGAAGTTTGATTTTTTCACAGCTTCAAGGGACAGTAGACCTGAGTAATTGATATAAATTTCAGCTTCATACCTCCACGCGTTCCTGAGAAAAAGGGTCTTGACAGACGGACGGACGGACAGACGGACAACAAAGTGATCCTATAAGGGTTCCGTTTTTCCTTTTGAGGTACGGAACCCTAACAAAGTAGCATGGATAGTTTCTTAACCTCGTATATAAATTCAAGCTAAATATACCGCAAATAAAGTTTCTTGCATAAGTTTTATTACCCTCAAATTTTTTTGCTTCTTGTTAAAAAATACCACTACCTTCGGACCACTATAAGTCTGTAGTGGCTGACAGTAGCAAAAATTAAAACTGTGCACATGGCAGTAGGTACTGATTATAATTTAATTAACTATCTCTGATACTTTATTTTTAACAGACTTAAAAAAGGAAGAGGTACTCAATTATGTATATATATGTATAAATAATAATTATATATTTTTTGTTGTTTGCACATTTATAGGTCTGGCTTCTTGTGATTGTTAACAATAAAACAAAGTATTCATTGATTATCAGTGCTTTATTTCTACATAGTGACAGCGTTGGTGTTGATTAATGGAAAAAAATATTATTATTATTTATTTATTCTTTATTACCAAAATACAGTAAATGGCGGACTTAATGCCATAGGCATTCTCTGCCGGTCAACCAGTATGGGTCTATGAGACGGATGTTTTGGCGATAGAGTTAGAGCTACTAAAGTTAGAGAGATAAAAAAAAACCTACTGAACTATACTATAAAATATTAAATATTTATTACATATAAATAAATTATCCCTATTTATATAAATACATACACAGTACATACACATTATACATATATATATATATATAGAATTATTAAAATGTATGTTTGTGGTACATGAAAGATAAAAATTTAATATCAGGAATCAAAAGGAGGGGGAAACAATAGCCCGTTTTGTGATGGAACTAAACATTTTAGCTGATACATGTAAATATGACTCGTTGAGAGATAATCTTATAAGACGCCGCCTTGTAGTAGGAGTGATTGAT